CAAACTTCTTATTAGCTTACCGAAGTACTCCACATTGTACTACCAATGCAACTCCAGCGAAACTTATGATGGGAAGGGATTTGAAAACAAAAATGGATCTGCTCAGACCGAAAGTGGAATCGCATGTCAAGCAGAAAGAAGAAAATATGTGTGCACAGAGACACACACATGAGAGGGAATTCGAGCTTGGACAATCGGTGATGATGCGTGATTATCGACGAAAAGAAAAATGGATCGCAGGAACAATCGCACAGAGAACAGGACCAGTGTCGTATCGTGTTCAAGTTGACCCGACAACTCAGTGGAGAAGACACGCTGATTAGACTGTGGAATCGCAAGTTCTGATAACAAAACCCAGCATTGAGATTCCAGAGTCAAACACCTCAGCTTCTACCAATATTGACCATGATGTTACATCTGCTGCTCAGGGTTTCCATGTGTCAAAACCGAAAGAACTTGAAATTTCGAAATCGCTCAAAACTGTACGCACACCACCAAAACCTTCAGCTGTCTTGCCTGAGAGACGCTACCCAGTACGTAATCGTCAGCCAAAAATCATGGAAGATTTTGTGTACCATGGTTCTTCTACCAAGACCAAAACCTAATTCGAGTGTTATGTAGGAAAGTTGTGCTGTGTAAAAGGGACACAATACTGTAGATAAAGTGCCACGCCACAGCATGATACGCCTTTCAAAAAATTACAATTATCTTAAACAATTAAAAGTGCAAGAAAATCATGTCAACCTTGATTTTAAGATTTCCATGATTTTTCAACTCCTTAAAAAATGTGTTTTTCCATCTCCTGTGGTGCAGGCATTAATTATAACAAATATTGCATCATTCATAGATTTCTATACCTAAAAATGCCAAATGCCTATCATATTAAACAATATCAAATTAGTCTTCACAACTTAATCTACACCTAATTAATTTTGAAAATAAAAGGCTGGCCATCAAATATAAACATATAAACTGACCAACAGTTCTTCTGTCTAATTCCCAAAGGATACACTGTCAGTTAAGATAATGATCTGAAGACATGATTGAGACAGCTATAGCCTTGCTACATTGAACACATTAATTAATCTTTAACTGGATGCTTGTCTACTCATTACTCCCAAGAGATTATTGGATCTGCACTATCTACCATAAAGCATTTTTAAAACATTTATAAAACCTCAATGATTTTTTTTGTTAGATTAAATGGCAGAGAGGTTTTAATATGCAATTCATATGGACATGCTGATTCCACCCCACCCCCATAAAATTAGTTTTTTACAGTTCACAATATTATGTAATATCAAAATAGTTTATTATGCAAAATCAAATTAGTTTTATTTACTTCTCATCAAATTCATTTCATTAGGTCTTTCCACCTTTCTGTGGAAAGACCTCTTGAAATGCTTATGTTTATTATTATTATTATTTTTCTTCCCGGACTTTTGAAACCGCAAGACTTATCGAAAAACTTTATAGTTCATGACATTGGATATTAAAAGTTATTCTGAAAAACGACCCCCCATGTTTGATCTTTGACCCCTTTCAAAGTTATTGCCCCTTTCGCAAGAAATGCTTGTTATCGCTACTCCTTCGAAACCGTAAACCGTAGAAATATGAAACCTTCACTAAAGTCTTCGACTCCTTGAGAGGACTCTGGAATCTATTCATTGCGAAAGTATTCGGTGACTCCTTCAATGAGTTATTGCCCCTGAAACTTTTTGAATTTTACAAATAATTAAAAATTTTTGAAACGAGAAGTGATAGAGACATGGGAACAACTGCATAAGATTCACTGAGCTTTGAGCTTAAAATTCATGTAAAGGTCAAAGGTCAAGGTCATTCCAAAATTGAGAAATTAAGCTCTTTTTATATCTTTTTTGTCTCTTAACATATACAGAAGCATCATTAATATGTACTCTTAAAACTATATTAAAGATTCAATTCGTATTCCGTAAGATTGACCCTATTAAAAGTTATTGCCCCTTTCGCAAGAAATGCTTGTTATCGCTACTCCTTCGAAACCGTAAACCGTAGAAATATGAAACCTTCACTAAAGTCTTCGACTCCTTGAGAGGACTCTGGAATCTATTCATTGCGAAAGTATTCGGTGACTCCTTCAATGAGTTATTGCCCCTGAAACTTTTTAAATTTTACAAATAATTAAAAATTTTTGAAACGAGAAGTGATAGAGACATGGGAACAACTGCATAAGATTCACTGAGCTTTGAGCTTAAAATTCATGTAAAGGTCAAAGGTCAAGGTCATTCCAAAATTGAGAAATTAAGCTCTTTTTATATCTTTTTTGTCTCTTAACATATACAAACTGTCTTAGCATCATTAAAATGTACTCTTAAAACTATATTAAAGATTCAATTCGTATTTCGTAAGATTGACCCTATTAAAAGTTATTGCCCCTTGTGCAAAAAAAAAATTATTTGCTATTGATCAAAAACCGTAAACCGAAAAGACATGAAAACTTCTCTAATGTTTGATGGGATTTTAGGCGAAACTTTTATATTCAAGCGCAATAGGATATGATGACTCCTTCAATGAGTTACTGCCCGTTAATGCTTTTGTGCTTACTATTAAACCTTACAACTTTAAAACTTTAAGTCATAGAGACACGAGGTTAATTACAATGTGACCCTTGACCTTTGACCTTGAATATGATTTTGAAGGTCAAAGGTCAAGGCCACCTGAAAAATATTAGATTTTTATTTTTTTTCTTCTTTTAAGCCATTCCTGGTTTTGTTTTTGTTTTTTTTTTTTGAAAGAATTTAATCTTAAAGAGATAAATTATAAATGAAATTGAAATTCAAAAGGTGGAAAGACCTCTTATTGTTCTTTGAACAATAAGTCTCCTAGTTATAAAACTTATGCTAGCCAACAAGAGCTATTTTTAATCCAACAGGATTATCCATTTGGCCCAATACTCAAGGGATATAGATAGCACCGATGCTCTTCCTCACACTAAATTCATTAATTTCTCTCTCTAATTTGACAATTCTTCTTGACCAGTGCTTGATAATTAAACTCATTGGAGTGGTTGAATTTCTTAAACATACATTACATTTGTTATAGATTGCTGTCCAGTAAATGCTAAAAAAATAAGTATTTTCTTGATTAAACATTTTTCTAAAAAGAATAGTGCAATTCTTTTACATTTTTTGGAGTGTGTAAATGAAAAGAAAAAAAGACATTTTTTTTTTTATAATTTCACTTAAATTAAAGGTCACAGTGACCTTGAAATAGGTCGCGACACATCCTCTACCTAAGATGCATAAAGTGGCCAAGTTTGATGATTCTAAGTTTATTAGTTTTCTAGTTATGGACCGAACAGGATTTTTCCATATTTGGCTATAATTTTTTAATTATAGGTCAGAGCGACCTACTTTTTGTTCACGACAAACTTTCTACCCAAGATGTATCAGCTGACAAAGTTTGATAACTCTAGGCCTTATAGTATTCAAGTTATGAGCCGGACACGAGAAAAGCTAACAGACAGACGGACGGACAGACAGACGGACATGAAGCCTATAACATAATACGTCCCGTCTAAAGACGGGCGTATAATCACTAAGTTTTCGCGAAATCTTATTTTCGCAAGATTGTCATTGACTCTTGATTATGGAGACAAAATTTTCACGAATTCTGGTTATTGCTCGCCCTAATCGGGGTCTGCCCACTAGTTCGAAGGTTCATTAGTCCGAAGGCCCACTAGTCGGAAGGTTCATTAGTCCGAAGGCCAACTAGTCCGAAGGTTCAAAAGTCCGAAGGCCCACAGGTCCGATTGAAAAAAAGTTACAAACTTTATGTTTATATAGATAATTAATTACAAATAAAAAGTTAAAGACTATAACAATGATTTGTTGACTTTTTGAAGATATTGCCATATGGATTTAGATATGAATGAAAAAAGATGAACAAAAGTTTCTTAGGGCCTGGGGTGTTTTCCCGGGAAGGGGGGGGGGGGGGTCTTGTTCACATAAGCACCTATAGCAGTGTGGAGCAAGTGTCTTACCACAAGACCACCATAGTCGATCAATGGTATAGAAAAAAGAAATTGCAACATGGGAATATGCAGAAAATAGGATGGAAGTTTCAAAGAATGGGTGGACTTAACGCCCTATTTTGGATCTTTTTGCGACTTCTCTTACAATCTGAATATGAAGTGAATCCAAAATAAATTATGTGCAATTGAAAGAGCAACATATATTTGGTTATATTAGGTGGAACATTTGTGCCAAAACAATGCCCTATTGTAGTGTATCAAAATTGAAGCAACGATACTTGAGTGTCGTCTTCCGGAAATCAACATGTACCCGGAGTGGTTTTTATGTCACACAATCAATATTTATAGGAGGCGGGGCTATCGATCGGTGTCATTGTTGACATCTCTCTCTCTATCCATCTCTCTTTCCAAAAATTCCAATACGTGTTTAGCATTTTACAGCGATGTCAATATGAAATTATTTTAAAAATGTGATGACACGCAAAATTTAAACATTTTTTTAATTTGCTAAACTCTGAAAACGGCAAAACTCAAAGACATGATTTAGATCGAGGTCAGGGTGAAGAATGTAACTGTCTTCACGAGTACACTCGCAGGTGGACAACACCTGACAAATTGTAATAATGAGGTCAATCGAAGACATTTCAATGGAAGCGAGAAGTTTTTTTTGAACATGTTTTTTGTTAAATTAAGTATGAGCACACTTTTGTCGGCTCTGTTCCTTTTAATATAACATTATTTTGTTCAATATACAACTACAGTTTTCTTAAGAACAGCCGACAAACATGTGCTGACTATGTATTCCGACGATGAAAAACGCGTGACCCTGATTATCTATTGATATTCAAGAAATCTTCATGCACCATGGTTTTGATATTTATTTTGTTTACCTCGAAAAGAGTGTTTTAAATTCACATCCGTACCATGAATACACGGTTAAGACATCGGAGGTTTATATGATGGGAAAAAAATAAACGTTTTATGAAAC